CATAACCCAAATTTTACTAATTTAAACTGATGTTTTTCTATGCTCTGTACTTTTTTTTTTTTTTTTGGAGAGGTTTTTGCTATAGGGCACGTGCGCTCGCCAGAAAGACACAGAGAGATAGAGAGAGGCAGAAAGCGAGAAATCACCCCCCAGGGGGGATGGCCACGCCGCAATCTCCTCTCTCGGGATCTTGGGCACACACGCACACGCGCCCAGCGTGAGTTTAAGCCACCGGGTCCGTGACTCAAACCACGATCGACTACGTGGGAGTCCAGCGACATAGCCATTATGCTAACTAGTTGGTCCCGCTTTGTACTTTTCTGAGGGAGATTTTTCGCTACAGGCCACATTCACTTACATAGACAGAGACAGAATGCGATAAATCACCCCAGATGGTCACATCGCAACCCCTTCTCCTCCATTCTCCTCTCGTGATTCTGGGCATGTACACACATGTGCCTGGCATGAGTTTTAAGTCACTGGGTCCAGGACTCAAACTACGGTCAACTACATGGGAGTCCAGCAATGTAACCATTATGCCATCTACTGGTCCCATGCTTTGTACTTCTAATATTAACACATGAGATGTTCTGCTTCCCAGAAAATATAAATTTTAAATTATCACATTCTTAAACTAAAAAGAGACTTTTTTTTTTAACCAAATCAAAGAATACATACCTATATTTTGCTTTTTCATGAACCCAGACATACTCAGGGTTTTTCAAACTCAAGCGAGCAAGGTCCTTTACAGATTTCGTTTGTGTTGCTGAGAAAAGCAAAGTTTGTCGTTTCTTGGGAAGATTTTCAATAATAGCATTCATAGTATCAGCAAAGCCCATATCCAAGATTCTATCTGCTTCATCAAGAACTAAAAAAGGAAAATGCAATTTGAATTTTTAAAATATACATTAGGGTAAATGAAATGTGGTATCCTGGCCTGGATCCTAAAACAGAAAAAGAGATTAGTGGAGCAGCTGGTGAAACCTGCATAAAGTCTGGGACTTAATTTACACAATGTACCAATGTTAATTTAAGTTTTGACAAAGCAACCATAGTTATAATAAGATGTTAACAGAAAAAAACTAGGTCAAGAGTATATAAGAACTCTTCCTATCACTGTAATTTGTCTATGAATCTAGAGTCTTCAAAATTAAAGAGAGAAAACAAATACTGATTCTGGAACTAGCAGGTACTAGTGGGATGAGGTGGCCATCACCCCTGGAGGGGGTGACTTCTCGTTTTCCCTCTGTCTTATCTCTGGGGAACACAACACACGCCCTATGGCAAAAACATTTTAAAAAAAAAATTTTTTTAACAGATTCAGGGGCAGGCCTTGTAGCAGGAGGTTAAGCACTGTGCAAAGAGAGCCAGATCCCACAAGGCCTACCACAGTTCAAGTCCCAGCACCAGCAGCTTAAAAAAACCCACTGGTCATAAGCCAACCAGTGACATGGTGGTTGAAGTGGCTGGACCCTACATGGCCCACTATGTAGTTCAAGTCCCAGACGCAGTAGCTTGAAAAATCACACAAAGCACATGTGCGTGTATGCTCAAAATCCCAACAGGACAACAGGGGAGAAAGGACCACAGTGTGGCCATCCCCCTGGGGGGATGATTTCTCACTTTTTCAGTCTCTCTCCAGCGAGCACATGCACAAAACTAAAGTAAAACAAAACAAACAAACAAAAAACACTAGACACATGTGCCTGCATGCCCCAAATCCTGATGGGATGAATAAATGAAGAAAAAGGATTGTGACATGACTACACCCCACTTTCTCTGACCCTCTCAGATGAGTACATGTGTCCTCTTGCAATAAAAAAAGAAAAAAAAAAAAAAAATCAGTAGCATCACCAAGTAAGAGTAAGTTAACAAGTGCCAACTTGGGACTGGCAGATGGTGTAGTAGTTATGTCACTAGACTCCCACATGGTCAACCACAGTTTGAACCCCAGGCCCAGTAGCTTGAAAATCTCACCAGGCACATGCGCGTGCATGCTCAAGATCCCAGGAGAATGGAAAAGGAATTGCAGAGTGGCCCGTCCCCCTGGGAGGTAATTTCTTGCTTTCTGTCTCTGTCTCTCTGGCAAGCACATGTACCCTATAGCAAAAATCTCCTTAAAAAGGAAAATACAGTGCCAACTTGACCTTTCAGGTCATCAGAAGTATGTGCTTCTTAAATGAAGTAAAAAATTCTTGGCAGTATTTAATACTGAAGAACCTAATTTCATTTAAGGGTACATATATTCTTATGTACCTTTTTTATTTAAAAAAAGCAAAAATTACTCTCTAGGTTTACAGTGTAAGAGCCGAAGAACACTGCAAGTTATTTCTCAGATTGTTTTTAATCTCATTATTTATCTATTATATTTCTACTACTAACACTGGTGAGGACTTTCCTAAATTTAAACCCATTAAAAATTCGTTGGACTCACCTAACATTTGGAGATTGGTGGCATGAAAACATACTGTTTCATCCATGTGTTGAAGAAGCCGACCCAGTGTGCAAACAAGTATATTTATGTTGTTGATTCTCTCAGCTTCGTGTTTCAGATCCTAAAAAAACAGTTGTTTCTTTCGTTACACAGACGTATCACTGAGCAGCCTGTATACCCAAACTATAAAAGCCACCTGCTCGTGACACACCACTATAGCAGTTTAGATACTCCTAGAAATAAAATTAACTTCTGCCTTCAATTTCTGCAGTACCTCCAAATTTCTGGGCTAAATAAAAGTCCTCACTAAAGACCTAAAGAGCTCAAGACTTATAAATTCTTAATCACATCCAAATACCAAATGACTGCTCCAAGTTTTTATAGTGGATTTCCTTTTAGGTCTGCCAAAAATGACTTAAAAACTCAATTAACTCTTCTATCTGTAGGTTCATTATCACAGATTGAACCAACTGAAGACTGAAAATACTCAGTCTACAGTTGATAGAATCTGCAGATATAGAACCCACAGATACAGAGGACCAACTGTATATGCCATTTTATGTAAGGAACTTGAGCACCCATGCATTTTGGTACCCCTGGAACTTATCCTCCACAGAGTCTGCGGGGACAACTAATATCCCAGTTTTTAAATCAGAACTCAGAGGCATTGAACAGGCTGTTGCACCACTCACTATACTTTGTGTGATAAAAAGAGTTAAGCTTAGAAACTCTCTAAGAGCCACCAAACGTTTATTGTTAAAGCTAGGTGACTGTTACAAAAGGGTTCATCATGCCTTTTTTTTTTTATTTTGTGTTCATCTGCACTGAAACTCAAGTCAAGTACTTTTCCTCACAGTCTAGAGGATATTCAAATAGATACAAGCATCCCAAATGTACTGTTATGTAGAACCAACACTGAACAGGTTTTACCAGGTCCTAAAATGAACATTACTCAATATAATCTTTCTATTTTTCTTCTGCTGCTGAGGTGCAATAATCTGAATTATTAAATCTCTTGGATAAGGTACCTAACTAAAAGGTACTAGTCCGCATACTAAAATGTTATCTTTTCCAGCATACGTTACCAAATAAATATACAAGATTATTAAAGTAAAATCTGGCTCAGAAAGCCTATGAATTCAGATATCCTAACAAAAATAGATTTTTCTGAATGTGTAAAACTGACAGTCACGCTCTAGATGTGGTGGCCACACCAAGGTGCTACAACCCATGAGGCCCTGTCTAGGAGGCCAGGTCTGACTGTTTAGATGAAGTCTCCCCCTCTTCCATGTCAACTGCTATGGTGCTTCAAGACAAGTCACAGAAGGGAGGGCAAGAACAAAAGGACGAACCTTTCCACCAATGATGAGACCAGCTGAGAAATCATGATTCTTTCCTATTTTTCGGAGAACCTCAAAGGTCTGATAGGCCAGTTCTCTTGTTGGTGATATTATCAGAACCCCCAGCCCATCTGTCGAGGTCCACTGCAGACGATATAAGGCTTCTAGCACCTGAACAAAGACAGCAAATTTGTGTTCTATAAGCCCCTAGAAAAGCCAATTTTATGAATCAAGTCTCAATTCTGCCACTATAAATCTAAGACGTTTTCCAATTACAAGGCAAACAGGATGTATTCAATCCAAGACTTTTTGTTTATTTTTCTTCTACTCATCAGCAACACCCCTAACTCAGAGGGATGGGAAAAGAAGCTCCATGGCAGCTCAACAGCTGCCAGATCCATGTTGTCAGGTGACTGGCTCTCAATGAAAGGTATGTGCAGCCCATAGGCCATTAAAACAGACTTGAGGAAAATATTTTCTATATAGTCACATTAAAATAAATCTTCATTAAAAAAATAAAATACAGACCAGCATTTTGCATGGTAGTGAAGGCACTGGACTCCCACATGGCCAAGAGCAGCAAAAGTCCTGGACCCAGTAGCTTGAAAAATCTTACTGAGCGCATGTGCATGCATACCCAAAATCCTAGGAGACGTACAAAGGTGTGGTCATCCCCTGGGGGATGATTTCTGACTTTCCATGCTCTCTCTCTCCAGCATGCACATGCACCCTATGGCAAAAAAATCTTCAATCAATCAATCTTTCATCTGCTGTGATTATTTAGTGACTGAATTCTTTACTGGTAGAGACACTGCTTAAAACAACAACAGAAAAAAACTCAGATTTAAGAGAAAAAAGGGTTTTGCAATACTTGGAATAAATAAAATATAATTTGTAGGAATCAAAAACTGGAAAACCATCTATCTAATTGAGATGTAAGTGAATTCTTAAGAAGCTCCACCGTTTGTTATAAAAGATTTTATCAATGTTCCCAAAAACTCATTTATTAATGCCCAGTTTCCTTAAAGTGAGCATATTTCAGCTCTACCCTAAAAAGGCAGAAGTACAAGTATAACTGGAAGGCTTCTGAGAGCAGAAACAGCTTTTCCCTTCAGTCCTTCTGCAGAGCAGAACCAATGACCTGCCACATTGGAACACCTTGCACCGTTAAAGAACATAATGGCTTGTCATGGCACATTCATTTCAATAAGTTATGGAGCGCTCACCGTAAGCAAGGTCCTGCACTAAGGAGGGGGAAATATGATAAGAGAGCAAGCAGATGTGTCTCCTAATAAAGTTTGCATTGTAGCCAGAAAAATCCAGCATGAAAATAATTCTTTCCTTTTTTTTTTTTTACATTTAATTTTATTATTTTTCAATTTGACCAGAGAAGGGGGAGTGAGAAAGCAAGCCACCAAGACTGGAAGCACAGTCGGCCGGCCATATGGGAGACCAGTGCCTTAACCACCATGTACCATGTCACCTGCTGGCCCTGAAAACAATTCTTGACATAAAGGTTTATTTGCATCTAGGCACAGAAAGTTGTAAAATGGTCTAATAGATCGATTCGGCCCAAAATAAATAAGGTACTTACTGGAACAAGGAAAGCCAAAGTCTTGCCAGATCCAGTTTTAGCGGCTCCAAGTACATCCTTGCCTTGCAAAGCCAACCCAATGGTCTGCTTCTGTATTTCAGTTACCAAACGATACTGGGCTTCTTGCAAACCTGGCAGTGTGGAGGGGAGAACAATAGTTTATAAATTCCTGTTGGATGGTGTTACAGACTGAACTCTCTCTCTCCAAAATTCCTAGATTAAAACTCTAACCACTCATACCTCGGAACATGCCGGCATCTGGAGAGAGTCTTTAAGGAAACAATTTTAAAATTAGTTCCTTAAGGTAGACCCTAATATAACAGAACTTGTAACCTTACAAGAAATTTAAACAAAGAGACACTAAAGGAGCACATACATAGAAATGATTATGTGAAGAAGCAGCAAATTACTGTATCACCCAGCAAGCCCACCTCTTGTACATTTAAAGGATACAAAATTACCATGTCAAAGAGTTAACTACACTGTCATGCTCACTGCAGTAATATTCACAGCAGCAAAGATAAGAAATCAATCCAAATGTACACCAATGGATGGATAAAGAAATTGCAGCACATACATACAACATATTATAGAGCTTCTACAAAAGAAAATAATGCCTTTTACAACAACCTAGATGAACCTGCAGGACATTACATTACATAAAATAAGCCAGGCACAGAAAGAGAAATACCACAGGGTCTCATTTATACATGAAGTCTGAAAAAAGCCCAACTCATACAAGGACAGGAGAGGATGGTGGTTATCAGGGTCTAAGATTGCAAAGACATTGGTCAAATACAGGGGCCATCAGCAGGAGCCAGCAGATGATTTAGTGGTTAAGGTGCTGGACTCCCACATGGTCAATCACAGTTTGAATCCCAGACCTAGTAGCTTGAAATTCACAACACATGTGTGTGTGCACACCCAAAATCCTTAAAGGAGAATGGAGGACAATAGACTGCAGTATGGCCATCCCCACCGGGGGGAGGAGGTAAGCTATCACTTTCTGCTCTCTCTCTCCAATACACATACACCCTACAGCAAAAATCCCTCAAAAAAGAAAGGGAGGGGTGGACAGCAAAATTTCAGTTAGGAATAAGTTCAGAAGCTCTATTACACATCATTGTGACTACAGTTAACCACAATATACTGCATCTTGAAATTGCTAAGAGTAGATTTTCAGTGTCCTTACCATACACACAAAAATAAGCATGTGAGTAATGCATGTTAATTAGATTGATTTGAACACTTCAACAACATAAATATACTTTAAAACATCCAGTCATACAACATAAATATGTATATTTAGGGACCAGCAGATGGTATAATGGTTACATCACTGTACTCCCATGTAGTCGACCACAGTTTAAGTCCCAGACCCAGTGGCTTAAAACTTATGGCAGGAGCATGTGTGAGCACCTGTGTGCCCAAAATCCTGAGAGAAGAATAAAGAAGAAATTCCAGTATGGCCATCCTCCCAGGTGGGCGGACGGGGGAGGGGGGGTGATTTCTCGCTTTCTGTCTCTCTGGTGAGCACACATGCCCTATAGCAAAAATCTCTATCTCTCTCTCTCTCTCTCACACACACACACACACACACACACACACACGGATGAAAGCCTGAAACAGATTCTTTTCTTGTGGCCCTAGAGGAAACCAACACTGCCAGCACCTTGACCTCAAAACTATAACCTCCACAACTCTGAGAAAATGCTTTTCTGTTCTAGCCGCCCAGTTTGGTACTGTCAGGCAGCCCTAGCAGACTAATATAAAGGACATGTAACATTTTCATGTGGTTCCTTATTTAACTAACACAATTATTTTCATTTTAATTATCTAGAGGTTCCTGGCATCATGTTGTTTAAGTAATGTTTTTAACCAGTTCAGAAAGGGCAAGAATGACAAATGGGTAAAACTCAAATACTGCTTTGTTTATAACATCAAAATTATATTCAAAAATAATGTTGTTCAAGTTAAATTCTAAATCTTCTCCCAATTATAAAAAGTATCAAGAACGCCAAAAACATGTCCCAAAATCACCATATACCTACCTTTCAACGTTTTTTTTGACAAGGGGAAATCAGAAAATCTTGAAATTTCATTTACATTTATCTGAAGGAAAAAAAGGCAGGGGAACAAAGTCAGATAAGACTAAATAATCTGGATAATGCATTTGTTTGTCAATAAAACCATTTTTCTCTACATTGTTTTTTGCCTAGTTCATCCTAGTACTGAATTCATCACTTCTAATTAAAAGTCATCATTTCTTCCGAAAGAATATATAGCTTTAGGAAGCTATCCTGAACCCAAAATCAAAATTTATAATCATTTTAATTGGTTCAAAACACACACACAAAACAAAAAAACAACTCACATGAGATACACATGACACACATTATGACCCGGAACACCCTTCACCTCCATAAAGTTAATACAGTAAGTCACAGCCTCGTTGACTTGACTTTCGGATAAACTACTTTCAAGCATCCTTCCAGGCATTCCACTTTAAAAAGAAAGAGCTATGGCTACAAACGACAGACCGTGATGAGAACTGTTCTACATATGCAACTTGAAGACTGATGTTAGTTGTAGAAATATATCTTGTTAACACAAACCTTTCGAAGTTTTAACCATAAACTGGTGACTTATGAAGTCCAACCTGATGGCTACCTCTTCTAGGGTATCGTGATGGTGAGGTATTTTTCAAAATAATCAGGGGAAATGGCTGAGCCATGCTTTGAAGTCACAATAAATCACGTCCCTTAGCTTTACATTATCCAGTGTTCATTACTGATGTTCTTTATTAGTATAAAACAAATTTCCTGAATTTCATTTCAGCTGCTCGGAAGAATTATTTCATTACAGATGCTGAATGCAAGAGCTACTGCTCAGATCTGGGAACATGCTCCCAAATTATTCATGATTCACAAAGTGGAAAGCTGTACTTGTAAGATTCATTTATTTAAATTATGCTCCAGGAGGTAAAGTAATGACAGCTGTATTTTATTTTACAATCTATGCATCATTTTCCCTGTGATCCTTTATGTAGCCCAGGCAGGATTACTCTACCCTCAAACACCGAAAACACAAATATTAAAACATTGTCTTAATCCCTACAAATCGTTCCAGAGAGGAGGTAAAATCAGTGTACAAACATTAGGAGAATGGTTTATTTGAATAACATCCTACCAGAGCAAGGAATCTCAATTAGAAGATAATCTTTCAAACAGAACATTAAAAATGAGGTGTGGGCCACCCTTGCATTTACAGTATTGATAATCAACTAAAAAGCTGCTTTCACAGGAAATAAATAACTGTAGTAGGTCTATTCCTGCAAGTTGGGGATTCTTCTGATGGACAACTTGGGGTCAAAGGCTAACCATCAGCCTGGCCAAAGCTGTCTTAGAACTGAGCCACAGTGTGACTACCCACTTCACCTTCGGTCCTCTTCTTCCCTATCTCTGTTCCTTCTCCTTCATCCTTCATAATTTCCCAATAAGTCTCCAATTCACCCAGCCCCATTTGGGCATCTGCTTAGCAGAGGACCAAATTCCTAGACTATACCAGTGGTCTCCTACCTGGTTTCTGAGCCTCTGGATATTTTACAGCTTAGATATATTCTCACAGAGAATTCCCACTTATTTCAGATAGCCTCTCATCATAGACAGCTTATGTATAAATTTCCCACTATAGCTGTAACAAATTACAAGATGTGGCTTAAACCAACACAAGTTGGTTTACGTTCTAGAAGTCAGACGCCCAAAATTTGTTTAACTTAGCTAAAAATAAGGCAGGGCTGAATTCTTTCTGGTCTATTTCTCTGTGTTTTCCATCTTCCAGAAACTGCCCATGTACCTTGACTATGGCCTCTTCCATCTTTAAAAGCAGCAACAGACTTCAAGTCCTCCTCACAACACTCCAAAACTGGCTCTCCTGCCTCCCTCTTCCACATTTAAGGACGCTTCTGAGTACATTGAATTCACCTGGATAATCAAGGCTGCACCCCACCCCCCCCCCACTGAAGGTCAGCTGAACAGCAATCTTAATTACCCTGGGGCAATTAATATATTCAAAGGTTCCAGAGGTTAGGATGCTGACATCTTTTTTTTTTGGAGAGGTTTTCGCTACAGGGCACGTGCGCTCCCCAGACAGAGAGAGACAGAGAGACAGAAAATGAGAAATCACCCCCCCAGGGGGGATGGCCACGCCACAATCTCTTCTCCATTCTCAGGATCTTGGGCACGCACGCACACACACACACGTGCTCGGCATGAGTTTTAAGCCACCGGGTCTGGGACGCGAACCGGGGTGGACTACATAGGAGTCCAACGACATAGCCATTATGCTAACTGCTGGTCCCAGGACGCTGACATCTTAAGGAAGCCTTTATTTTCTGCCTAGCATGGCATTCAAAGTCACTCAAAGTCAACCTCCAACCCCCTTCTCCAACCCCATCTGAAATCAATTGAGGAACACATGCAACACTCCAAGGAATATTTCTTCCCCAAAATAACACCATGTTTTTGGTTTTGTTTTGGTTTTGGTTTTTTTTTTTTGGGTTTTTTTTTTTTTTTGGAGAGGTTTTTGCTATAGGACACATGCGCTCACCAGAAAGACAGAGAGAGACAGAGAGACGGAAAGCAAGAAATCATCCCCCGGGGGGAATGGCCACGCCGCAATCCCTTCTCCTCTTGGGATCTTGGGCACACGCACCTGGCATGGGTTTAAGCCATTGACTGGGTCTGGGACTCAAACCGCAGTCAGCTAATAAGAGTTCAGCAACATAGCCATTACACTAACTGCTGGTCCAAGAACACCATGTTTATTTTGTTTTTTTTGGAGAGGTTTTCGCTATAGGGCGCGTGCGCTTGCCAGACAGACAGAGAGAGACAGAGAGACAGAAAGCGAGAGATCACCCCCCAGGGGGGATGGCCACGCCGCAATCCCTTCTCCTTTGTTCTCCTCTCAGGATCTTAGGCACACACACACACGCGCCCGGCGTGAGTTTTAAGCCACCAGGTCCAGGACGCGAACCGTGGTCGCCTATGTGGGAGTCCAGTGACATAGCCATTATGCTAACTGCTGGTTCCCTAACACCATGTTTTTTAACATCTCTTTGTATTTCTTCATATTGCTTCCTCCATTTAGAATGTTCTTTTTTCATTTGATGAGCTCATCACTCAAGAGTTAGCTCCAGGGACCAATGGACGGCATAATGGTAGGATCACTGGACTCTCACATAGTCAACCGCAGTTCGAGTCCCGGACCCAACAGCTTCAAACTCACACAGACATGTGTACACGCATGCCCAAGATCCCGAGAGAATAGAGAGAATAGAGGAAAAGGGATTATGGCATGGCCATCCCCCCTACAGGGTAATTTCTTGCTCTCTATCTTTCTCTGTCTCTCCAGTGAGGACACGCACCCTATAGCAAAAATCTCTCTTAAAAAAAAAAAAAAAAGAGTTACCTCTACCCATGATTACCACAAACTGCTGTACAGTTTGTGCACTACACAAAGGAATCTGGCAAGGTCAAGGTGTGGAGGCTGAAATCCAGCCCTCATTCAGCCCTCCAAGTCAGGTCTTAGGCTGAAACCATCAGGAAGAAGAGTGCCCCGAGGAAACCTGTTTATTTTTAATGCATCTGACCAGAAGGAGCACAGTACATAATTCACCCTTTTTTCCCCCTAATTACACCAACCTCTAACTCCACAGCACTGAGTTACATATTTATTGTTGTTACATTTGTCAGAATGTATCACCTCCAATCCCACCTCCATTACAGTTCCCTAGGAATCCAGATATGTATTTTTTCAAAAAATTATTTAATTTTATATTTTTACTTATCATTATTACTTTTTTAACTTGCTATAGGGCACATGTGCTCATTAGAGAGAGAGACACGAGAGAAAGTGAGAAAGCAAACCGCCAGGTCCAGAACTCAAACCACGGTCAGCCATGTGGGAGTCCAATGTCTTAACCACCATGCCACCTGCTGGTGCCCAGATATGTATTTTTTTCTATATATATTTATATAAACCTCAACAAGTGCCTATTACATTGCTTCAAAATGTTTTAATCAAATTGTTCATTATTCCACCAAGGAAGCTACTAAACATCGGCCTGTGTTCTATGGCTCTATAGTAAGTTTTGTTAATTTTTCCATTCAAGTTAGAGAGTCTACACATGTGCCAGGGCAGGGGTGCACCCTCCTTGGGCTTGGTCACACTATGATCTACTTCCTCCAGTCCTCCAACCTGCCAGGTTCCTGAACACATGCACATACACCCAACATGCTTTTCAGGTCAATAGGCCAAGAACTTGAATCACAGTTGGCATATGGATTCCAGCTCCCAGCTCCACAGTCTGCTTATAACACACAGGTTTTCCCTAGTAAGTTTTATGCACAAATGCTACCATCTTAGCAGCCCATAGTGAGGGTCTGTCTGTACCTTGGTTATCTAAAGAACAACAAATCTGCTATTCAAATGATTGCATTATAGTATTGCTAGCCCTGGCAATTGATTTCACACCACACTTATTTCTTAACTGAATCTTAAGAAAATATCTCCTCCTGGGACCACCAGTTGGCGTAATGGCTATGTCACCAGACTCCCATGTAGTCGACCACGGTTTGAGTCCCAGACCTCATGGCTTAAACTCACGCCAGTCATGTGTCCGTGCATGCCCAAGTTCCCAAGAGGAGAATGGAGGAGAAGGGATTATGGTGTGGCCATCCCCACCTGGGAAGTGATTTCTCGCTTCCTGTCTCTCTGTCTCTCTCTCTTTCTGACAAGCGCATGTGCCCTATAGCTAGAACCTTCTCAAAAAAAAAAGAAGAAAATATTTCTAAAATAAAAATTAAAAAAATAAAAATAAATTAAAAAAAGAGCCAGCAAATGATGTGGAGGTTAAAGCAGCTGGATCTCACATGGCCACTATGACTGTGCAGTTCAAGTTCCAGACTCAACGGCTTGAAAATCACATCAGTCACGTGTGCATGTGTGCCCAAAATCCTGAGAGGAGAATGGAGGAGAAAAGGAATGTGGTGTGGTCATCCCGCCCCCACCCCAGGGGTGATTTCTTACTCCCTTCCACCTATCTTTCTCCA